TGCATTCGTTACCCTTTTTATAGCAGTACACGCATCAGTACACAAGACCTCAATAGTCAGGTTAAGAAAGGGATGGAATGCAACCAACGCCCAAACATGGCAGACATTCAGGGAATTATTTCTGCCCTCCAAACGAACAAAACTAAATGTGCCTTCTCCTAGAAACAATCCTGGATCCCCTGGGCCGCCCTTGGTGGTGGGTCAGTGAAGATCAGCGGTTGGGTGTGAAGAGAAGGATGATGCAGAAGGAATGTACAGAGGAGTGTGGCAGTCCTGAAATGTAAGATGAAGGGGGAATTGGAGGTGACAATTAGACGGGGGAGGAACAAAGGGGTGTCACAATGGAAGAGTTAAAAGCTAAGTGAATGCAACGGACGAGGGGGCGATAAACCACAGGAGGGTAGCTAGGATATTCTGTAACAAATGACGGGAAAAAAATTGAAAAGATGAAGGGTGGGATGAGGCATCCAATGAGGGGACTCGCAGCTCGAACGCCAGTCTGACTATCACCCGTTATCCACGGAGCAAGTCTTCTATATAACGTCTGATATGTCTAGACATGCGCTATGCAAGCCGCACGCCACCCAATCGCAGTCGACTTTATTAAACTATGACGTCATTTCATTCCCAAGTCAGGACTAAATGGTTTGATTGGTCAATTCGAAAGCAGTGTTTTGTTATACAAATAACGAATGTTTGTGAGTGCGATGGTAAGAATAATTTCATGAGGTGACAGATTGAATGTTCTATTCCACGAGGCGAAGCCGAGTGGAATAGAACATTCAATCTGTCACCGAATGAAATTATTCTTTCCATCGTACGAACGTAAAACATTCGTTATTTGTTTTATACAACACCTGAATAAATTCTCGTCATTTGATTGGTAAATTATAAACTACAATTTATTTTGATTTTAAAGATGTTGAACTACCCCTTCACGAAAATGTTTGAACCCAACGCTGTAGCGCCGGCTCTTTGGAACAATACACGCTACGCTGAACGCACACACCAGCATGCATTTTGCACGCAAATACCGCGTCATGGAACAAGCGCAAAGTGAAACGGTAAAACGCATGGGTATAACGCATGGTTGCACCGTGCATTATACCGAATAATAATATGTCACGTGATCTACAATTCACCAATCAGATGACGGGGATTTATTCAGGTGTTGTATAAAACACAACAACAGCCGGGCGCATTTGATACAGAGCGCGTGACCCAAGGTTTTTTATCCATTGTCCATGACGCGCAACGGGTGAATGACCGAAGACCATAGAGAGCGCCCGCTGATTGGTCAAAATGTAGCGGTTGTCTTGCCTAATATTATTAATCAGCGAATCTGCTCACATATCATAGACTACCCGAACGCGGCCTAAAGCCAATACGCCGCTTTCCGTATTCCCAAGCCACCTATTACAAATGATGCAGTTCGAGTAACTAGAACTCTACGAATAGGCTTTTTTAACATTTGGACCGGTGGTCGGGCGATAGTAGAGTCCTAAGTACATAGCCTTATTGCGTTTCCAATAACGTTTTTTAACATTTTCACTCGTACCCCAATCAAAATCTTCAGATTTCACCCCCAAAACAGTCTTCAAACTGCCCTTTGCGACCCTGTAGGCTTCAGTGGGAATTGGAAATACAAATGGGGGTGGTTAGGTTTACACACCTTTTGGAAGAAAAGAGAAATTTCACCGGGAAACATCCTTGTCACAAAAGCCTTGTTTGAGGCTGGCATTTGGAATTCAGGAAAAGTTGACTAGTGCAAGTCGATTGGTCACCAATCGAGGTGACCAATCAAAGTACCCTGTGATTGGTCTGTCTGCTTTTCCTGAATTCAAAATGGCAGCCTCAAACAAGGCACTTGGTGGTTATCCTCCTGAATACTCCACGCGGAAGTCTAACAAGAAGGCCTTGGGGAAGTGGAACTAAATTAAATCCTTAAAGGTGTTGTGGTTTGGGGCGTCTATGGTGTCTTGAGGGAGCTTGTTCCATTTCCGGATAGTTCTGGGTAGGATTGACTGCATATAGATGTCTGTCCTTGCTGCAATTTCTGTGAACTGGTGGTTGTGAAGTCTACGAGCCCGTGCTGGTTTGGGGACTATGGATGATGGCTTAATGTGAACTATGTTGTGCATTATTTTGTAGAAGTAGGTAAGTTGGTTAACTTTCCTTCTCTCTTCCAGTGAAGACCAGCCTAGGGTTGTCAACATGTCGGTCACACTGCTCAGTCTGGAATAATCTCTCATTGCGAAACGAGCAGCCCTCCGTTGCACTTTTTCAGGGCTGTTATGTTCTTAGCTATGCGAGGGTTCCAAGCAATGCTGCCATATTTTAGGTGTGGTCTGACTAGTGCTAAGCACAGCTTTTTTTTTACTGATCTGGATGCAGAATTAACATTTCTTTAGATGAAGTTCAATATACGACTTGCTTTGGAAGTGGCATGTTCTGTTTGAAGATTCCAACTTAGGTTATTCTGAATGATTATTCCCAAATATGTGATATTGGTTTTCTCTACGAGGTTTGATCCTAACAATGTGTGTAGTTAGTTTTGCCAGGGGCCCGCTTCCTGGAGATTCGCATGATGTTGCATTTGCTGGAGTTAAATTTCATTCCCCAGGTTTGCGCCCAGTTAGCCAAGTTGTCCAGGTCTTTTTGGAACATCAATTCATCAGTTGATGAGCAGATCTTCCGGTATAACAGGCAGTCGTCGGCGAAAAGGCGAGTTGTGCCAATCACTGATTTGCTAATGTCGTCGATGAAAAGTAAAGACAGGTGGGGGCCAAGCACAGTGCCTTGTGGTACGCCACTGTCGACACTTTGCCATTTCTAAGAGTTTCCATTTACCAAAACTTTGTGTGACCTGTTGGTTAAGAATTCCTTGATCCATTTCTGTGTTTTCCCCCTTATCCCCTTATTAGTAGTCTAATTTTTTGACCAGTTTTGATGAGAAACTACGTCGAACGCTTTAGAGAAGTAGAGTACTGCCATGTATGTGGTGATTTGATTATCATAATTGTAGGAGATGTCATCCAGAGTTGTTATGAGTTGGGATTCGCAGGACAGGCCTTTACGAAAAGCATGTTGGTTTTCGTTCAGGATGTCGTGTTCCTTGAGGTGTTTCATTAATTGGCTTTCAATGATGTACTCTAATAACTTGGAGCAAACAGAAATCAACGACACAGGTCTGTAGTTTGCCGGGTCTGCACGACAGCCTTTCTTAAAAATGGGTGTTACGTTGGCTTTCTTCCAAACAGATGGTAGAGAACCCAGGTCAAGTGATTGTTGGAATATGGATGCGAGTACTGGGTATGGGGCAACTTCATCGGCAGCTAGTTTCAAGATTTTGTTTGAGAGTGTTGTCGGGACCGACGGCTATGGCGGTGTTGAGCGACGTCAGTAACTTAAGGACTCCGCTAACAGACACGGTGATGTTTGTCAAGTCTGGGTAGGGACTCGGTGGTAGAACTGGTTGTGCATCGGTGTTGTCCCTGCTGAAAACACTACATAATTGATCTTGTAGGGTTTCAGCTTTTTCTTGGTCAGATGTGATATTTTTCCCGTTGATCGAGTTTTCTGAGAACCTGAACCCCTGTGTTGTCTTTACGAGTGCTGTTTACGTAGCGCCAAAACTTCCGGGGTTATCTGTAGATGTAGTTTTTTTGTAAATGTGTGCGTTTAGCCCTTCGGATTTCGCTGTTCACTTGCTTTTGCAAAAGTTTGAAATTTTCCCAGTCTGAATGTAGACCGCTTGTTACTGCCTTCACATAGCTGCGCTCTTTCTTCCTGCAGCGACGGATTAGTAGGACAGTAGTGATCGATCGAGCCATGAGGGTCTAGGATGTCCCTGGACTGTTTTTTGTGGTACATGTACTAAGTCAGTTATTTTTGTCAGCCCGTCCCTAAAAATACTTCAATTTGCTTCAACTGTTCTGGTTTCTGGAGATGACTGCATGAATTCGGTCTGAAGCTCGAGGACAGATTTTTTCCAGCTTGGATTCATCCACGTCATTCCACTTCAAGTATAGACCTTTATGTCGGCTAACACTGTTGCGTGATCGCTAATTCCGGAGTTGCTGTAAACATTGCGAACCAGAGTTCAACCGTTAAGGCGTGTGGTGAAGAGCAAATCTAAGATGTTACTCTGTTCCTCTAACTGGGTCTCTCCTTGTAGTAAAATTTACCCTTTGTTCGACATTGTAGTCATCTGCGATGTTGATAATTTTGGATTGAATACCGTTTGCCGAGAAAGTACCAGTCTCCAAAGCATGCCCGGAATGTTGAAGTCATATCTCCTCCACTGAGAATGATGAATGGGGAGCTTACCAGGTTGAGCCTGTATTTGTGACAAGGATGTTTCCCGAATTGAAGGTGAAATTAACCACCACCATTTGTATTTCCAATTCCCACTGAAGCCTACAGGGTCGCATAAGGCAGTTTGAAGACTGGTTTAGGGGTGAAATCTGAAGATTTTGATTGGGGGTACGAGTGAAAATGGTCAAAAAACGTTATTAGTTAAGCAATACTGGCTATGTACCTAGGACTCTACTCATGGGCGTCGCGAGGGGGGCACTTGCCCCCCCCCCCCCCCCTGGAAAAGCAAAAAAAAAAAAAAAAAGGAAGACAAAAAAAAAGAAAAAAAGAAAAGATAAAGAGGCGCGAAGACAAAGTGGTGTAAATTTAATGAGTTGGGGGGGGGGGGCAAATGTCCCTGCTCCCCTCTAAAACTGATAAATCGAGAATGTGTTGAGAAATACAAGCATTTTTTGGCAAAACAATTTTTTGCCCCCCTCTAGAAAAAATCCTGGCGACGCCCATGACTCTACTATCGCACGATCATGTCCAAATGTTAAAAAAAAGGCGATTCGTAGAGTCCCAGTTACTCGGACTACAAATGATGCACCTTGACGTTTAAAAACGTTTCTTTATTGGTAATAGCCATGTCCGAGATCCGGTACCGAAATCCGGCGGATAACTTAAAGTTTCGTCGCAACTGGTGCATCGTTACAGCGCCCTCTTTAGACGTAATATCTGTATCTGCAAGATGGCGGCCTCCAGTGAAAGAAATGAACTGCATGCCTCTGACAGTTCCAATGCTGATTTTGGCAATAAGCATCAAGAAAACAGTGACCCAAAACCAGCACATGGGCTGCTGTCTTTTGTCAAAGGTACTTGTTTCCTAAAGTTGTAATTAACCTGGGCATTTAGTCAATAACGCAATCTCAACCTCAGTCAGGCTAGCTGGAATTACCCAGCATGCCCAGCACGTTATCATCTGATCTAGTGATCCTTGGGTTGTCATTATTTTTAGCTGGAGGAAGTTTTTCACTTGGACCTGCAGCATTGGAAGATCCAATAAAAATTCGAAAATGTGCAATTTTGTCCCCGTAACACACTAATTTCAACTGGGACTCACCCACACCTTGCCTGGCATAACCACTACACAGGTCCTTGACCTTTTTTTTGAAGAAAAAAACAATCCACGATGAAGATTCAGCCTACAATTGCAGTGAAAAAAAGGAGGCATAACTGACAGCCATGCAGCCATGATGATGCCTGGAGCTAGATTTGTGCACAAACAAACTGCAAAGCGCTGTCAATTACCATGTACATACAGCGAACCACCAGTCACACTTGCCAACTGCACGACCAGACGACGACGCGGCACGGCATGGGGCTGAAACGCACACCCGACGACTGTTTGTCCGCCAACTTCGGCTGCCGTTCTACCTCTGCCGTGATGTGAGTGAAGCCTCATAGTTACTGCAGCAGTAGTGCATCAAACAGTCGTCGGGTGCACGCTTCAACGCCATGCCGCACCGTGCCGTGGCAAGTGTGACTGGTGGTTCGCTGTGTGTGAATGGTAATTGACAGCGCTTTGCAGTTTGTTTGTGCACAAATCTAGCTCCGAGCATCATCATGGCCGCACGGCTGTCGGTTATGTCTCCTTTTTTCACTGCAATTGTAGGCTGAATCTTCATCGTGGATGTTGCCTGTCATTCCAAAATCTTTGAAGCCCTCTGTAGTGAAGCGTGTCCTCTTGTGTGCGCTCTTTATACGCGGCGGCGTATAGCATCCCTGTACTGGGTCATTCCATGCCAACTCAACAAATGGTGCACACCATCACCTCTTGGATTTTTTTCTTTTTTGGTGTACTGAAAGATACTTAAGAGAAATGCAAATTCTGAAAATTTGGGGTCTCTACGACTTTTCGTTCTTGCGCAACAGCATTTTGAAATTTGAGGTGGGCGGGGCCAAAAGTGCGTCGCGTCACGAAATTCAATGTTTAAAGGGCCATATATTTAAAACTATACCCCCCAGACATTTCAAACTTGGTAATCTGGGCTATTTTTTGCTGTAGATTTCAAATATTTAAACAGAAAGAAAGTAGCTTGTTTCATTTTTAAGTTAGAGGGGCCCCAAAATGGCCCAAAACTCATCTGGACCAATGTTCGGGGGGGTGTAAGTCAAAAATTGAAAATATTTTTTACACCAAATTTTTTGCCTGTAATAGCCCCCAGTTGAAACTACTTTCATGTAAAATCTTACACTTATATTAACTTCATTGAATGAGATATAGCCCTTGCAAAAAGCAAATTGTTTATTTTTACGATAACTTGACCCCCCCAAAAACCAACGTCAGACATTCCGCACCAAATTTTGCTTCACATATGTTTGAGGTTGGTCCTTAGTGAAGTCCTCTGAAAAGTTTCATGTTGGTGTCTAAATGTCTTCAGTGGATAGCTGGGCTTTTTAAAGAGTCTATATCTTATGATGCTGCAGGTTCCGTAACATACATGTACATGCATGTACATGTACTTGTATTTTACGGAACCAGCACAACAAAATCCCCCGACTGTTGAAAGACTTGGGTCAAGACTACCCATTTCCTGCTCAATAAACAGTTGCTTGTAGACCTACGTAAGCATTATTTGCAAATTAGGTTAAATGACTTGAGAGTCTTATTCTTTCCATGTGCTCATCACACAGCATGCATGTCATGTATACATTGTACACATGTAGTAATTAACCAGTTCTCACTTGCATAGTATAGCACTGACCTGAACCAAAGAGAAGTGATTCAGTTTGAGTAAAGGGTCTATGGTTTTAACCTGATTGATCTTAGTTTTCATTATGGATAAGGGGAAACCTAGTTCATGCAGGAAACTCATCATGCACCAATTGTAGCAGCTGACCTCAACCCAGGAAAATATGTTTGTGTGCATTGTCTATGATGATGTTTGGTACATTGCTGTTGTAGAAGATGTATCACAACTTCATGGGGATGTGTATGTCTGCTTCATGTACAGGACGGAATCAACAAATACTCTCTATTGGCCACAAAGAGAGGATAAATGTAACATTCCATTTGTTGATGTGTTGTGTTGCGTACCAACACCAGAACTTCTACATAGCAGTGGAAGGCAATACAAACTTAGTGAGCCAACCATCATGCAACTCATTCAACTTCATCAAAACAACATGTACATCACAAGGAATGCATAATTTCACCTGTGAAACTGTAAACAATTATATCAACTGTCTACATGTACAAATGTAAGCTTAGTTTCATACCCAACTTATTCTTTATGTACCGACTGCTGTTATTCTACATTGTATGTACGTGTACATGTATGTTACGGAACCTGCAGCATCATAAGATATAGACTCTTTAAAAAGCCCAGCTATCCACTGAAGACATTTAGACACCAACATGAAACTTTTCAGAGGACTTCACTAAGGACCAACCTCAAACATATGTGAAGCAAAATTTGGTGCAGAATGTCTGACGTTGGTTTTTGGGGGGGTCTAGTTATCGTAAAAATAAACAATTTGCTTTTTGCAAGGGCTATATCTCATTCAATGAAGTTAATATAAGTGTAAGATTTTACATGAAAGTAGTTTCAACTGGGGGCTATTACAGACTAAAAATTTGGTGAAAAAAATATTTTCAATTTTTGACTTACACCCCCCCGAACATTGGTCCAGATGAGTTTTGGGCCATTTTGGGGCCCCTCTAACTTAAAAATGAAACAAGCTACTTTCTTTCTGTTTAAATATTTGAAATCTACAGCAAAAAATAGTACAGATTACCAAGTTTGAAATGTCTGGGGGGTATAGTTTTAAATATATGGCCCTTTAAACATTGAATTTCATGACGCGACGCACTTTTGGCCCCGCCCACCTCAAATTTCAAAATGCTGTTGCGCAAGAACGAAAAGTCGTAGAGACCCCAAATTTTCAGAATTTGCATTTCTCCTAAGTATCTTTCAGTACACCAAAAAAGAAAAAAATCCAAGAGGTGATGGTGTGCACCATTTGTTGAGTTGGCATGGAATGACCCTACTTCACAGAGCTCCAAAGATTTTGGAAAGACAGGCAACAGCCGCGGTGCGCTTTGCCAAAGTTGACGCATGCTCAGTAGATGATTCAAGCTCTTGTCTAGCTCCCTGGCCCCATTGGCCTTTTGACTGTTTATTTGCATAAACAAAGACATCACAGCTTTGGGGTCATCGCTTTTAATTGGCTGCCATCAATAGACGTTTTACGTGTGCATATATGGACTTAAGAAAGATTCCTAAAATTCTCGAAAAATTTGGATGTAAGATAACCTAATCAACCTTTTGGGCAAAAGCTGAGACATCATAGAATACAACTGCAAGTGCAGTTTACTGCAGTTTCATGTGGCAAACAAAGACACTCTCTTTAAAAGTTTGGTTTGCACACTGTGTGGCAAAGGATACAGCCCAGCAATACCGTTGCCACACTAGGCCCAATTTACAGGTCCCTCTTTAGTTTTGGTCAATAGAGTCAAGAGATATTTGTATCATTCCAAAACGTTCATGGCAACGTAAAGCAGACCTCCTTTAAAATTCTGATGTAATGACCCCATTTTTGTAATTTTGAACAGTGGGCCTAATCATCTTTAGGGAGATTCCAGAACTTCTAGACATGCTAGAACTAGACTGGTAGTATTAGCTTGAAATATCCAGCTCACTAGGCTCATGACATGGGGAGATTTGCCAGTAGAGCTGGAATTATTTCCCTGACTTAGACAGCAGTTTTCACTTTTAGGGCCGATATATTGGGTCTCTGGTCAGACCAAAGTTCCGGAATTGACGGGGCGTCGCAGCTTTTTGTTTTCTTTTTTTTTTGGCTTTTTTTTTTCTTCAAGCTTGGATTGTACAGACAAGGTGGGGTACTATTTTGCTTTTTTGGTGTCCTCATGTACATTGGTGTCCTCCATAATTTGCCTTGGTGCTCTTGATCATTTGCCTTGGTGCAATTTCCCATTTCTTGGTACTCTTTGGTAAAAAATATTGAGGAGGTGCGGCAATAGAGGGCGCTGTTGGAGCTACCGCGGAACATTTTGGGGGAAAAAAAGATTGACGCGCATGATTAAAATCGACGTGCGCGCTGACCAGAGACCAACTTATTTTTCTTTTTGGCCTAAGATAAAACTTGAAGTTTTTGAAAAAAAGAGCAAAACCTGAAGAATGCACAGCAGGGAATCGAACTCGGGACCTCTGATCATTAGCCAGCATGCCTAACCACTAGGCCACAGCAGTGCTCAACCAACCCTTGCAATTCATAAATTATATACTTTCACACACCTGGAGAGAGTATACGCGCGCGCGTAGGTAAAAGGTTCTCCACAATCCTATAACCTTGATTCAAGTCGCCTGAAAAATGGTCACCCTGTACTATTGTGTAAATAAAAAATGATGCACTGTGAGCTGTCCGTGCGAAAGAGAACTCATGGACTACTCAAAGTGCATCATAAAACAGACGTCGTTTGGTGCGCGCGTGGTGCTGCTGGTAATTGCAAACCACTACCTGGGCATCAGGGGGAGACAGTCTTAATGAATTAGCATAACCATGATGTGTGTACAGAGGGAACAAAATATGACATATTATGAATGTGATGATTGTTACTAAAGGGACAATAAAAAGCTGTGACATTAAACTATAACATTTGTATTTAAACCATATGTTATGTATTAACTGTGCCTGTAAAGATATGTACATGTGTGTCCTATTGATTTCTGAATGGTGTGTGTTGATTCAAGGATGTGAGAGTGTGGTTTCTCCTATTGTAATTGCAACCCCTGATTGTAACACCATTCCATTTATTACTTTGATAATGTATTACATGGTGCTACCTTCATTAGGATTCATTTATATTTTATTTGGAAAACTATTCCGCCCTTTAGGTTCTATGTTTATGGTGAGTGTTGCTGGCATTGCAATGATATCTGGATTTGGTTTGACGATGGCTGGAGCCAAGAGAAGACATCCGGGCTCTTTCAGTAAGGTAGGTGTCAAAGTCTGCATATCCACTGCAATTTGAAAATGTATTATGTATTTGAAATACAAATATGTAATATTATAATACATATATTTAATATTTTTTTAAATCCTTGTGATTTTTACACTTTCTAAAAAAATGAATTTGTACATCTGCATGTAAGATAAGTTAGACAGCAATACTTGCGCTTTATCCTCTGAATTATATAGTGATTCTTTTATTTTGTGATTCCACTTTAGTTATAGGCTTTTGATTTGAGGTAATTTTAAAACATACAGGATTTTTTTTATATTGAATGATTGATTGATTAATTCCATGTCATTGTCTCCTTTGTCCACAGGGTATTCTTCCCGATCCATCAGTAAGTCTTCATGAGAGTGGAGCATCATTAGGAATGCGTGCTTTACTCTGGGGTTCATTGTTTGCTGTGACTGGCTTTGGCACATTGACCTTTGCTGTATGTAAAGTCATGGGCGTTAAATCAGTAAGTGCAGGACCAAAGTCTGACCTTAACTTGTCATAAAAGATCGTCTTCCTTTAATTTGATATACATTGTAGTGATATACTTCTGAGGCGAGTTACAGAGTGAACACAGAATTCCACATTTTTTGTCGTTTTACAATTCTGTTTTCTCTGACAAATGCAGGTCGAGGATTTCAAGACCAAATTTCAGTCAGTTGCACCCAGAATCAGGAGAAATCCAGCCAGTGAACCAGAGGAGGTGACGCTGAGGAAGTTGAGACAAGAAATTTTAGAGGAAGAGGTTAAAGATACTTGAAAGCCTGATGAGTGTCAACTGGTTCCTATATGTGATACAGGCCAAGGATAGGAGGAGAAGTCTGAGTGATAATTGAGATATGACGTACATATACTCACTCAATTGTGTCTCGGTCAGGCTACATTATTTGTGACTCAGGTTATCCAATCAAAATGATTTAATTGGCTCAATGACTTTTACAAGTGTTTTCTGGTCTCCTATAATTAATTGCTGTGTTCTGTAACCAGTGAGGCAAAGAGTACCCAAGGCCAAAGTGAAGATGTCATGTGATCACAGAATGTATAGAATTCACAGACTATATCAAAACACAAATGTTTGGATCTATGTACATGTACAGTGTTTTCATGAAATATTTTTGCAGTACAAGTAAGTAGAGTGTTGAGGAAATCAGTCATTTCGTGGATGCTTTGACATTCCTGAGCATTTCAATTATGGTTACCTACTCATTGAGGTTTGTTTTTTAATTGTGGAAAGTTGTGGGAACAATAATACTCATGTGTATAAAAATTAAGGTCAATCTAGGTAATGTTTCCACTGAGGTGTGCAGTAATTGGGATCCATCCTGTGGTTAATACAAAAACCTCTGAAACAGATCGTCTGAACAGATCTGAACTACATGTACATGTAGTCATATTTTACCATGTACATGTTATACCAAGGCATGTGAGTTGAATATTTTGAATGACTGTATTTTTAATATTACACTTAAAATAAATCAATGAAAATGTTTTTGAAAATGCCAGTTGTCAAGATTGGTTATTAAAGTATTCTTTTATTAACCGTGTTTTAAAAATTACAAAGATAAGGGCGTCATGAATAATACTGTTCCCTGACATCTGCACTATGTCATTGAGACTGGATGACATAGTTAAAGTCAAGATTTTAAACGAGGTGAGGGGCACCCGGGGACACGTCCCCCCCTTGTTACGTCACTGTTCCCATGCTCCATGAGTCTTCCTGCAGAGGGAAGGAAGACGCATGCAGCATGGGAATAGTGACGTAACAAGGGGGGGGGGGGGACGTGTCCCCGGGTGCCCCTCACTTCGTTTAAAATCTTGAATTTAACCAAATATACACTGCACTGTTGAATCGGCCCCTTGAACATTTTGCGCACCCTCAGGTGCACCCCCAGAAGTTTAACCCTAGTTACGCCACTGCATGGTAAAGGGAAAGTATTTGGAACTGCATGTTTTTCTTGCAGACCTCGGCCATTTGAGTGAACATGCAAATACCTCGTTCCAAATTAGCCCATCGCATTTGACACTGAACGAACAAAACTAGTCCACAAACTTTCAGAAAATTAGGCCCTCGAGAGTGGATAGTTCCCATTAAACAAAAAGTTGTTTAGGCCCCAAAAAAAGTCTCCGGTTTCTGGTATGGAGCTTGTCCAAAAAGTGGTGCGGCGACGCGTTTTTTTTTTTTTTTTTTTACGTGACTTTTTTGCTTCAAATGTCGACTGATGACTGCAAATGGTGCCCGACAAAACTTAGTACAAATATATGGGAGTCCAGAGAGGCCACATAAAGCTTATTCTCGATCATAACCCCATCTAAAAACACGTTAAAATTTAGCCCGACTGCGTCTGGCCGTACAGTACTATCGCAAGCTCTGTAGTACGGCCAGACGCCCGATGCTTCCACAGAGACTGAATTTTTTTGGCCGCCGATGTAGCGATTTTGCTACATCTTTCGATCGCGATTATCTTTTCATCCAGGACACAAATTTCCAAAGTTAAGGTTCGTAGTCGTAGAGCAACTCATACCTTTTCGAAAAAACGTTCTTTGGTCTCAATATTTTCATCCATACGGCCCCGCCGCACGCACGTTCAAAAACACGATGTCATGTCACAGACTGTTTATGCATATTTATGAGTTTGCGCGGGCGCGCCTGCATATTGCAGACATTACAGCGCGGCCGCCATTTTGAAATCGCATGGGGGATCGCATGGGGGACGATATTTGTGAAATCTGATGACTGAAATTCGTCTTGTGGCCAGATGGATAAATATATTGAGACCAAAGAACGTTTTTTTCGAAAAGGTATGAGTTGCTCTACGACTACGAACCTTAACTTTGGAAATTTGTGTCCTGGATGAAAAGATAATCGCGATCGAAAGATGTAGCAAAATCGCTACATCGGCGGCCAAAAAAATTCAGTCTCTGTGGAAGCATCGGGCGTCTGGCCGTACTACAGAGCTTGCGATAGTACTGTACGGCCAGACGCAGTCGGGCTAGTTAAAATTGTGCAGCAGCAGGATTCCAGTCAAACCAGTGAGTTTGGCGGTTTTGAGACATCATATTTTATTGAAAAAAAACTTTTCCATTTTGCCGACGCGCATGGCTACGGCGACGCGCGCGCATACCAGAAACCGGAGACTTTTTTTTTGGCCTTAGCCTCCTGTATTTTTAGTCATGTTTCGTCATCTACCTTGATTAATTGTGATAAATTGTTTTGACTTCGAATTAGGAAAACCTGTGTCAAGATGCAAATGTACATATTTTCGTCCAATACATTTGATCGTTTTCGATAGCAACATCCGTTTTCAAGCCGATAGCGATGAAGTGGAGTCAGGGGCGTAACTATGGTGAAACACCTCGGGGGGGGGGGGGGCTTGCCTTTTTCGTTTTTGAACTAATAAAGGTCTACACGTATATATGGACGTAAATGCTATAGCTGTTATACTGAAACACAAACCACAGGGAGTTACGCTCCCGTTGTTACCAAATCTTACGACAAAAAATTAAAAACAACTGGATTTTTCTATTGTGCTTTCCGGAAACTTTTTTTTATGGAGTCCGTTTTTTTAGGGCAGGCATGAGAATGGATTTAAATGAGAAAAAAACAGGAAACTTGTGCAAAAACAGGAAAAAAGGTGTGAAATCGGGCAAAAAAGCCCCAAAACACACACAAAATAAATAAAAACGCGGAAATTTGGGCAACAAATAAAAACAGGAATTCCTGTTGACAGGAAGATGCTCATGTCTGTAGGGAGTTAGGGACTCCGCTAGCCCAGGCTGGACTCCGTTGTGTACACGCGACGGTCAGTCGTAAAGCATGAAGACGTCGCCCAGGCTCCATTTTGAACTTACGGATAAAACATAGTTTGCACTCCAGCGTTATTTGTCAAACTCCCGATAATCATCATGCGCTGGAGTTACTCAATCTATCTCTAACTAACGTTATATATTGGTGTCGTATGACTGAAACAGTGGATTTTGTTCTCAATCATACTTGGAGCAACAGGGCCAGCAACTGTACACTCCCAAGAATGAATGTATAAATGAAATCATGAACAGCTACAAAAATCAGCTAACAAACTTGTGAAGAATATACTCACGGGGAAGAAATTTCTTGCGAATAGGCCTACCCGCTCAGTACTATGGCATTCACTGTTTCAAAACTTGCAACCACGGTGGACGGGCGTCAATCGCTTCTCAAAAGTGGGGGGACATACTTTGATCAGAACTAGTTGCGAGCGCGAAGCCCTTACGGCATGGGGTTAACCGCCCTGAATCCTCCAAAATCCTTTTTGCAAATTGGAGGAATTTGCAGGATTGAGGTTACATGGCAAAAGTGGATTGCTGATTTCGGAGTACGCACTGTGTCAAGGTTTTGGGCCGGACCTTGTGTTGTTTATGCTCAGCCGTGCATAAATTTAGCCCTTGATTATACTTGACATCCTCCGCACTGCTCCAGGATGTCACTGCCTCTGCCTCAGCCTATTGACAGTCATAGCCGGAGGATTTTGCAGGATTCAGGCAGTGGTCACCCTCCATGGACCATATTCAAGAAATATCGAAGGAATTTGCAGGATTGAGGCTATATGATATTTTTCCATGAGGCCAATTGGAGGATTTTGCAGGATTGAGGCTATACATCCTAGCAAAAAGGCCTAGGGAGTTAGGGGCCCGAAAAAAATTAGATCCTAGATGCTCTGTGGTGTGATCTGAGGCAATTTATGACCACTTTTACCAATATTTTCTTAGCAAAAGAAAATATTTGAACATCGTTTTCGAGGTTGGAGTCATTGAATCAGCTATTCTGAGCTAGGCATGGATGGGGTCCAGGCCCGGAAAAAAATGATTCAATAGATGCTCTGTGCTGCGATCTGAGGCAATTTCTGACCACTTTTACCAATATTTTCTGAGCGAAAGATAATGATTTAAACATCATTTTCGAGGTTGAAGTCATTGAATAAGCTATTCTCAGCTAAAGGCGTGGGGTTTGGGGCCCGCTTAAGGGCCCGAAAAAAAAATGATTCTAGATGCTCTGTGGTGCGATCTGAGGCAATGTATGACCACTTTAACCAATATTTTTTAGCAAAAGATAATATTAAAACATCATTTTCGAGGTTGAAGTCATTGAATAAGCTATTCTCAGCTAAAGGCGTGGGGTTCGGGGCCCGCCAATTAAGGGCCCCGAAACATTTTGGATTCTAAATTCTCTGTGGTGCGATCTGAGGCAATAATTGCTGACCACCTTAACCAATATTTTCTTAGCAAAAGATACATTGTAGTATATTGTAGTAAATAGGGCCCTGTAAATGAGTTACGAGTTCAAAAAACTGGGGGGGGGGGACATTTGATATTATGTCCCCATCCTTCAAAAAGTGGGGGGACATGTCCCCCGTCCCCCCCCCCCCCCAGGATTGACGCCCATGCCACGGTGACCGTAAGGTCAGAGCCAAATTCTTCTAAATGCACATCAAAAATCTGTCAGATTTGTCAAAAATCTGCCAAACTCCCCAGAATTACTCAAAATACAATATAAACACTTAAAATCACATGCAGATTGGTACTATTGCCTTAATTAAGGTTCAAATTGCATTATAAACAATCTATAGTCTCATAAAGATGTTATTATGAAACTATCGTGTAAATTTCGGGCAAAACGCGGATCAGGCCACGACGAAGTCCATTTTCCAGTGAACCTCAGCACCTAGACCAGCCAACCTGTCCCTTTATGGAAGGGTTTGTTTTAAAGAATTGAGGCTTTTGTAAACAAATGTTCAATTTTTTGATCAAATTTGCTGTTTTTCTGTCAAATAACCAATTTGTTTTGCAGAATTCTGCCAGAAATCTGCCAAAAAAATCTATTCTGTCAAATTTTCTGTCAAACTCGTTTTTTTTTACAAAAATTCTGTCAAAGTTAGCCGAAAATCGGCTAAAACGGTCACCCTGCTTGCAACCGGTCATACTAATAAGCGTAAACACAGCGTCAACACACACAGAAGTATCAACACAGCGTCAACACCTCCAAAACGCATTTAAATTGACAAAACCGGTGTTCAAACTGTACAGTATGGGCAGAAATAAAATTTTGGCTCAATATCAATAAGATAAACGTCTGAAAATTGTAATTTTCTGTTCAAGAAAATTGGCTCTCAGTGCAGGCCGAAATCGGCAGCCAGGTTGCTTCAGGGGCAGCGCAGACGATACCATTACGCAAAAGGGGTAATATCATTATACAATAAATCATCAGAGGGCGGTCGTTACGTGTGAATACGTTTACGACATAATAATTTCATTACCTCCACACCCATATCTGAAATGGTGAGGTCCAAGTTCGGTGCAAAGGCAAGATGGCCGACAACGGCGGTGCTGCTTTGGATCATTTTATCGCGTGAAAAAAACTCCATTCTCGTAAACGAAATGTAACCTCTGACCCACCGAAAATCTCTTTTAGTCTAAACTTTAAAGTTCTATGCCTTTTTTTTGTCGATTTAGAATGCGTTTTG